GAGAGAGAGAGAGAGAGAGAGAGAGAGAGAGAGAGAGAGAGAGAGAGAGAGAGAGAGAGTTATAGAGAGAGAGGCAGCGACCATTCCCGGAACCACAGATGGGGTCGCCTTTTTTTTTGTGGCGGGGCGACAACATATCGGCAATCGACATTCGTTTCGTCGGAGTCAAAGTACTTGTACTCCAATTCGGGCTTTGCCGTTGTTGGCTTCGGCGGGACATGACCTCCAGTCTCTTGTAAGGTGAGTACGATTTTCCCATTCCTGAATATTTGTCCTTTTTTTTTTCCCTTTTCATCTGCGTTTTGTTTCTTGTATTTTTCTTCGTTTTCTCTTCAGTCGGTCATTCTCGCTGCCATCAATAATTGAATCTATCGACAAAGACAGGTGCTGACGTGGACGCTGCATATGCTGCCACGTCAGCGTTTGGCAGTTAGGACCCCGTGTTGATCATGTCCTTGCTGTCCAATCACCTGGTCCACGTGGACTTATGGCTTGCGCATATGCATTGGCATCCATCTTGTTGGAAGAAGGAGGTAGAGGAAGATGGGAAGGAGGACGACGAGAAGGGGGAGGACGAGGAGGAGGAAGATGGGAAGGAGGACGACGAGAAGGAGGAGGAGGAGGAGGAGGAGGAGGAGGAGGAGGAGGAGGAGGAGGAGAAAGATGTAGTCATGCTTGTAGTCGTTTGCGATCATTGATTCAGCGACGTGTGCTGTCGCATCATCTTGCTGACGTGGCAGCCGCTTATCTCCAGTTGATCCACAGTTCTGAGCAGTGCCCCGTGGAGAGTGGACATGATAGATACGCACATGAACCTTCCTCTCTCTCTTCATCAGTCTCTTCACCTTCTCCTCTTCCTCCTCCTCTCTCTCATCATCATCCTGATGAAGAAGTGCAAGTGCGCTTACTACTGCTTCTGGTCCTCTACTTGGAAAACCTGCAGATCAGCTCGTGCTGCAACTGCTATGTCTCCATCCTCCTTCTTCTCCTCCTCCCCCTTCTCCTCCTCGCCCTTGTCATCGATATCATCATTAGCAGGATCAATATTGATATCCTCCTCCTCACTCTCTGTCGTGGACAGGAAATCCTTGGAAGATAAGTTGTCCTTGCTAATCGAGAGGAATGCGCCCGAGCATTCGGTCGAGTCTTCACTATGCGAGTCATGAGGAGTGGCCAGCGTTCATTACCTTCCTTGCTTCCTTCCTTTTTTTTTGTTTGTTTGTCTTTTTCTGTCTTTGCGCATTTTTCCGCTATTGCGCTCCGATCCACAATGTGACAATATATATATATATATATACAGCCTCCTGATGAGTCGGTGAAACTCCGACGAAACAGTTTGTCACAGCCCCTCGTTTGTTGTCCTCTTCTCTCTCTCTGCTTACGGTTTATCGGGCAATTCTGTTTGTGACGATATATATATCACAAAAATACCAGAGCGCAAAAGCGAAGCAAAAGCGAAGCAAAACAGAAAGAAAACAAGGAATAAATGAATTTTATTTATTTATTTTTCTCCTTCTTCCTTACAACCCCCCCTCTTGAGAACGTCTTGCGTACAAGGCCGCCCGCGTAGGTGTAGGTTGAGCGGCGGCTGCCCCCACCCCCGTGTGCCATCTCGACCCACTTCTGCAGAATGGGAGCACCTCTACAGAACGTGTGCCCGGCGCCCCTATCGCAGGGCTGGCACGACTCTCTCTCTCTCTGTCTCTCTCTCTGTCTCTCTCTCTGTCTCTCTCTCTCTCTCTCTCTCTCTCTCTCTCTCTGTCCCCGTTGGCGGCGGACACATAAGCGTGGGCAGGCGCGGCCCCGCACGCGCTTGTGACAGATGACGGGACAGGGAAACCGCGAGAGGATTGGGTGGCTTTTTGGCACCCGCCGCCGACCGGTAACGAAACTCACCGGCGCGCGCTGACGTGTCCGCCGGTTCACACACAGAGAGAGAGAGAGAGAGAGAGAGAGAGAGAGAGAGAGAGAGAGAGAGAGAGAGAGAGAGAGAGACAGACAGACAGACAGACAGACAGGGAAGGAAAACAAATACAAGACGTCACAATGAAGACACATACACACACACACACACACACACACACACACACACACGCACACGCACACACACACACAGAGCAACACACATAGTAGACATGGCAACATGAACCAGGGAGAAGACGAAGAATGGGGACTGTTGGGAGGGCTCACCTGATGGCGGAGTGCGGTCGGGTAAAGGGGAAGGTCGCCTATCCGCGTTCCGTGGAAGGGTATGGGCAATTGTCCAACAACTACGATGAGCAAATGACGAATCTCATGTCCAACACCACGACCACAACCTCCCCCCCCCCCCCGTTTTTGTAACGAACGTTTGCGTCTGTGCGGGGTGTGTGTGTGTGTGTGTGTGTGTGTGTGTGTGTGTGTGTGTGTGATATGATGTCCGCAAAACAGAGGTTGTATGAAAAAAACAAAAACAAGAAGAAAGAAATCGAATATGGGGGCGGCATTCCGATCGCTCCCACGATAAGCAAAAGCTCTCTCTCTCTCTCTTTTACACACACACACACACACACACACACACACATACACACACACACACGCACACACACACACACACAAAAAAAAATAAAAAATAAAAAACAAGTGTGGCATTGTATATTCCCACGATACAGCGCCAGATTCAATCGATTTTGTTCATCCTGTGGATGGAAGTACCATGACGCCAGCCGCGAAGTTTGAGACTTTGTCTCTCTCTCTCTCTCTCTCTCTCTCTCTCTCTCTCTCTCTCTCTCTCTCTCTCTCTCTCTCTCTCTCTCTCTCTCTC